ACTCAACCAGCCACTCGTATTAGCCATACCCCTAACACTAGTCACCTACTCAACCAGCCACTAGTACTAGCCATACCCCTTAAACTAGTCACCTACTCAACCAGCCACTCTAGTACTAGCCATACCTCTAACATTAGTCACCTACTCAACCAGCCACTAGTACTAGCCATACCCCTAATCCTAGTCACCTACTCAACCAGTCACTAGTACTAGCCATACCCCTAATCCTAGTCACCTACTCAACCAGCCACTAGTATTAGCCATACCCCTAACACTAGTCACCTACTCAACCAGCCACTAGTACTAGCCATACCACTAATCCTAGTCACCTACTCAACCAGCAACTAGTATTAGCCATACCCCTAACACTAGTCACCTACTCAACCAGCCACTAGTACTAGCCATGCCCCTTAAACTAGTCACCTACTCAACCAGCCAATCTAGTACTAGCCATACCCCTAACACTAGTCACCTACTCAACCAGTCACTAGTACTAGCCATACCCCTAATCCTAGTCACCTACTCAACCAGCCACTAGTATTAGCCATACTCCTAACACTAGTCACCTACTCAACAAGCCACTAGTACTAGCCATACCCCTAACACTAGTCACCTACTCAACCAGCCACTCTAGTACTAGCCATACCCCTAACACTAGTCACCTAGTGTTAGGGGTATGGCTAGTACTAGCCCTCCCAATGACCCCTAACGAACCAGCTAACCAAACACTGGTCTTGGCCCAAGTAAGGTTACTCTGCAAATCTGGGCGAAGCTTCACTTGCCCGGATTGCTTTGTCTGTGCTTGTGAGAACGTGGTCCGTGGTGGGTCTGGCGTGACTACTACAGGGAGGGGGGGGGGGTGAGACATAGGGAGGGGGGGGGGGGGTGACACAGGGAGGGGGGTGACACAGGGAGGGGGGTGACACAGAGAGGGGAGCTCCGTGGCACGAGGCCCCTCCCGACACCGCTCCACCCTCATCGCGGCGTGGGTGACGCCAACAACAATAACAACAACAAAGCAGCAAGTGATTAACTAAGCCCTCAACTTGTTCAAACATTGCCCGTGGGGCTGGCTGTTGTTGTTGCTGCTGCTTTGCTTGCCTTGTGTGCGCGTGTTTGTGCGGAGCGATTACGCGTGCCCTTTGAGACGTTGTTCAAGACTGGCAGTAAAGGCAAATTTGATGGCATCTCTGCTGGGAGGAATCGACGCAAACTCCGACGCAATGTTCCCCGCAACCGCAGAAGCCCAGATTGCGATCCGACCCCATCGTACCTCGCAAGCTAAGCAGAAAACCCGAGCCTGGTTAATACCTGGATGGAAGACTACGTGGAAAAAGGCGGGGTGGCTAGGAGATAAGTTCCACACAGATGCTTTAATCCATCTGTGTGGAGCTTCGAGCGTCATCTCCCCGGTGAGCGTGGGTTGTCTACAGGAGCTCTGATTTCCTCCCACCTGTCACTCGTGAACGGATTTGGCCAAAACCCCACGGGGCAGGGCCCTCTGAAAAATCTGGGGACATCCGACCAAGAACGCATTTACGCGGCCGCATTTAGTCACACACCAAAGACAAAGGCGTCCCCCCCCCCGTGTAGCCTTTAACAAACTGTTGGGGCAAGGGCTATTAGTGAATATCATCCATAAAAGCGGGCACGGCACAATAAGTGGGGGGTGGGGTGGCCAACACCACGCCTGGCTGCCTTTGTCTCCCCAACGCCCCATGCGCAGGACCAGTTCAAATATTGCCCACTGTGATTGGTCGTGAGCATGAATCGAACTCGGGTCGTCGGGTTCAAAGCGCGGCGCGCTAACCGCTACACTACCGCGCTAACCGCTACACTACCGCGCTAACCGCTACACTACCGCGCTAACCGCTACACTACCGCGCTAACCGCTACACTACCGCGCTAACCGCTACACTACCGCGCTAACCGCTACACTACCGCGCTAACCGCTACACTACCGCGCTAACCGCTACACTACCGCGCTAACCGCTACACTACCGCGCTAACCGCTACACTACCGCGCTAACCGCTACACTACCGCTCCCCCCGTATAAACAGGACACACAGGAATTCTGCCGGTACGTAATGGGGAGCACAATGGACTGGCAATTAAGTGGTCGCCAGTACGATCGCGTGGTGCAGCTATCCTGAATCCTCCACGCAGCAGTAATATTAAATGGATACACCACGGTTAGTCGATGGTCGGGTCGCGTGTGCCCTGCGGTAAAAGTGTTGGGGATTACTCCCACCTCCCCCAAGGCGTCTGGCCAGCGTGGAGGAGCAGGCCAAGTGCCGCACGAGGGAGGCTCTCGAGAGCTCCCCACCAGCGGGTGAGGCCCTTCCGCCGGTAGCAGCGGCGTGAGCGAGCAATTCCACGGCTCTTGCGACCGTGAGCCCGAGCGAGCCGTTTTGGTCACGGGCACGCAAGAGAACCTCGCTCGGCAGGCAGCGACGCGGCAACGGGTGGGGCGAGACAGACGCCGCGGGCCCCATCCTCGCCCGGAGGGGTTCTGCGGCTATTTTTGGACTCGCGCGGTCTTAAACGAGTTAACACGAGAAAAGGTCTCCGCTGGGCTCTGGAATGGGCCAATTTGTAACGGTTATTCCAAAGCAGCTTGAGGCCGGGAATAAACAGCGAGCGGCAATTTCCCCTTGCCACAGGGTGGTGATGGAGTCCGCTCGTGGCACCTGGCGCGCGTTTAACCCTTCAACGGCATCCTGCAGCACGCGGTCTGTGGTGTGTCACTGGTGAGTCTGCAGTGCCCGTGCGTGTCACTGGTGATTCTGCAGTGACCTGTGTGTGTCACTGGTGATTTTGTAGTACCTGTGTGTGTCACTGGTGATTCTATTGTAATACCTGTGCGTGTCACTGGTGAACTGCAGTAGCTGTGCGTGTCACTGGTGATTCTGCAGTGCCCGTGTGTGTAACTGGTGATTCTGCAGTGTGTGCGTGTCACTGGTGATTCTGCAGTGTGTGTGCGTGTCACTGGTGATTCTGCAGTGTGTGCGTGTCACTGGTGAATCTGCAGTGTTTGTGCGTGTCACTGGTGATTCTGCAGTGTGTGCGCGTGTCACTGGTGATTCTGCAGTGTGTGCGTGTCACTGGTGATTCTGCAGTGTGTGTGCGTGTCACTGGTGATTCTGCAGTGTGTGCGTGTCACTGGTGATTCTGCAGTGTGTGTGCGTGTCACTGGTGATTCTGCAGTGTGTGTGCGTGTCACTGGTGATTCTGCAGTGTGTGCGTGTCACTGGTGATTCTGCAGTGTGTGCGTGTCACTGGTGATTCTGCAGTGCCCGTGTGTCACTGGTGATTCTGCAGTGACCTGTGTGTGTCACTGGTGATTCTGCAGTGTGTGTGTGTGTGCGTGTCAGTTTAACACATAGGCTTTTACGACCAATATTACCCATTATAAAGATTCTTCTGGGTGAGCTCGTGTGTCACTGGCGATTCTGCAGTGTGTTTGTCCACTGATATATATTTTATACACGAATGCCCTTTTGACAAAGCAAATGTCTTCCTTGCTATATTAATGCCCTGTTGGTATAGAGTTGCTAGCCAGCACCTGTTGAGGTCACAGCATTGGCGCACAGGGGGAGTGACGTGGCTGGGCAGCAAAATCCCTGGCTGCGTTTGTCTCCGCAGTGCTGACGCGCACGAGGTACTCAATTAAGGCCGATTCCGCCTGTCGTGGTGGGCCCACGATAGGCAGGCATTTGAGCTCGCAATGGATATGAACTGCGGGGAATTATCAAACAATTTGCTATAGAAGACCACAGAGCTGTGGTCACGACACGAGCACAAGAAATCACGGACAGGTGCGCTCAACAATTAAAGACGCACTTTGAAGAGGCGCAACCGGCCTTCGTCCAACAGTGGAGGGATCACTTGACAGGATGACGACGGTGGTTGCTTGAGCAACGCGATGTGTTCGGTGATGCTGGGCGCAGCGTTCGCACGACGCGGAATCGTACCGCACGGGGCAGCCCGTTGGAACGCCGTGTCATCTCTAGGCCGTCCCCCCTCCCCGCCACCGGGGCCGCCGTCATCATCGTTACGGCGAGCCGCCTCTGTGCTTGCGTCCAAGGAATTTGGGGCGATTGGCAGACGGCGACATTCATTTTGTTCCTCCCGCGTTCATCGCGCGCGCGATCCTCTCCCGTCGACGCCGTTAACGGAGAGCGGCGCGGACGAAAAAAGAAGCGGGCGGGGATATTAAACGCGGAGAACCGCGAGGAAGTGCGGCGTGAAGAGCCTCATCTCGTCCGCGCGACAGCGGACGCGGGTTTGGCACGCGACACCCGCGCCATCGCCCCGCTTGAAGTGCCACGTCGCTCGTCGAGCGGCTGCCCTCCCCGAGTCGCGCCGACCTGGCACGGTGCAGGACAAGCGTGGCCTCTCTCTCCCCTGCAGCCACTGGCGCGCCGGCAGTAAATAGTGAAGAGTCGCTACCGCCGGGTTATAAGAGACGCTCGGCCTCAGCCAACCCCCTGTATTTTAAAGCAAGTGTCAGGAGTGCGTCCTTTAATCCGGAGGATATTGCGTTGCCCTCGGGCCAGGGAAACCTCACACCGAGTCTCGAAGACTCGGTGTGAGGGCTCCTGCGGGTCGTGCAATGTGTGGCAGCACGCCGAGGTGCCCGTACAAAAACCTCACCGCGAAACACGGGGCGGTGACGCTCGCACCTCCACACGGATGGATTCCGGAATCCTTTTTTTTCCCGTACTGTACCGCCATCTCCTGGCCACCCTGTAGGCAAGGAAGGTTTGGGAGTTTCACAAATCTGTGAGCTAACCAACGCTTAAATATCAATAGCATGTTGGGGAGGGGGTAGGGGGGGGACACACTGAGTTAAACACCCCACTGGGTGCCGTCGTTGTGGCCAGAGGACTCATGGAGCTAATCACGTCCGGCACAGGCACGCACCAGGGCTGACACCCATAACCCGACATTCGGCACAGCCTCCCAACCCGCCCCCCCCCCCCCGCCCCCCCGTTCGGTGACGGCAATCACGGCGAACATGTCGACCGCACACACACAGCGTGACATTTACAAGGCGTTCGTCTTCGTTCAAGTAATAATACCACGTGTTAGTGTCGGACTTACGAACACTTTTAAATAACCCCCTTCACGATTCCCACGCTCTATTATTATTATTATTGCTCCACGATTGACGATTCCGCACGTGAGCGGTCTTCTTGTTCTGCGAGCGGCGTGAATCATTTCAATCACATTCGATCGTTACATAATTACATAAAAGCATTTTTGTAAACTCAAAAGTAAACATGATTGACAAAGGGCCTGACGTAATTCCACGCGCGCGAATGATTAGTAAAAGCGTCGTATCATCGTTCGTGGCGTGCGATCCCGATCGGGGGGAACAGAGACCGGCCTACGTAGCCCACAACAGGGGATCTGTGTCTTCTATCCAGCACGAGCGACCCTCACAACGAAAACGGCACCGGCCGGTGGCTTCAACCGACGTTGAGCGAGACGCGGTGCCATTGCCACGTTTACTCGTTTCGGCTGCAACCGATGTTGGAAAAGATCAGCAGCGCCGCTGAAATTTACGTTGCGGTGCGCAATTTCGGGATTGTAAGTTCGTTCGCTCGCGCTCTCCAATTTTCTTTGGCGAGTAAAACGGCTCAATCGAAAATTCATTCTGAAATTACCGAACGAGCATTTGTTGGTCGGCAGTTTGTTTCGGATTGATGTGTGGTGTTTATAATTCGTAAGGAAACAGAATGACACGCGATACTGTTATGCTCGTGAAGACATTTTGAAACACCCATCACCCGCGTTCCTACTTATTAGTGCCCCCACTGATTAATGCGATATACATAATAGTTATAATTACGGCCTAATTTTAGTTTTCAGCCCACTTATTATTTCTCGCAAGAATCTTTCTCGCCGCTACGTGCGCCGTGTTCCAAAAAACCTCATCACAGAGCTCCTCATCAGCCGCGAGCCAAGGGCCGCGGCAGAATTCCTAATGACCGACGGTCGAACAAAATGCATTTCCCCCCCCGCCGCCCCCCGACTCTCCGTAAGCCGGACATCCGTAGGATCCTCCGTGGCTGTAACATGGAGACCAGAGCCCTGTCCCCAACGTCGCGAATCCGCTGCAGCGAGCAGCCATCCCGCTGGCACGGCGTGGGCCGTTGTTGATACCCGAGAGGCACGCGAACCAAGAAGGGTCAAATAACAACAACAAAAAGCTCCCATCGGTTGGTTAAAAAAATAATTATTGATTCAAAAACGATGCATAAACTCATAAGATAGTGGCCCCCGGCATTCTTACTTTTGTCTGCCCACTTCTGGAAATATAGCGCAGCATTAACTTAATTCACACTTTGTTCTTTTCACTTCCGTCTTCTTGCGAGCAAAGGGTTGAAATAGCTCACACCGCCTTCATCCCCTCTCAGACAGAGAACAGATTATGGGACTAATACACATCCTGGTTAAAATTTTTGATTTGAAATGTAATTAGAAACTTTTTTTTCCTCATTCCGAATTCAGCATATAATTACCCGTGGTTGCGGCATGGCATGCTGTCGTGCGGGGAGAATCTGTGCTGTCTGCGGGAACGCCGAGCTATCCTCAACTAACTCTGCAGACGGCGTGCGCTCGACAAGTCTCACAGAAGGTCGGTTCAGCGCGCGCGTGCCGCTGTCTGCCCTGTTCACTCGCGAGCCCCGGAAAGCAGAGGGCGGAGGTAATCATTTCAGTGTCAATTGCTGCAATGCTCGAATTCCGCGGCGATACCCACGAACGGGCACACGCCTTGCTCCCGGACGAATCGTGCGCGGACGCTAGCGCAGGCTTTTCCCGCAGGCGCGTCCAATCGCGTTTCATTCGACGCAGGAGTCATGCTGGGTTGCACGTGCAGCTTGGTGATCTTTCCCGTCATGGGCGCGTTCACCATCGTCTCCATCTTCATGGCGCTCAGCACGCACAGGGGCTGCCCCTTCTCCACCTGCTGCCCTTCCTTCACCTTGATTTCTATCACGCTGCCCGGCATGGGGGCCCCCACCTGCCCCTTCACGCTCTTCAGCGCCTTGGGGTGCACGTGCATGTTCTGTGAACGAGAGCAAAAACCACGCTCACGCACAGACCACAGACCGCTTTCCGTCTTTGTTTCACGAGTACTCGTGGTTACACACCAGGTACTCGTTTAAGGCCGAGTCGATCCAAGGGAAGCTCGGGACAGGTTCAGACATCGCTCTCCACAGATGTTAGCCGTGGCCAGGATTCGAACCCGGGTCGTCGAGCTCACAGCGCAGCGCGACAACCAACGCCGCCCCATGACTGTGGTGCACACCGAGTCTCGTGGAGACGATCGCTCACCCTGGCGAGGAGCAGCAGAGGACACCGCGAGATCACAGCGTGAGCCGTCACCGCCGGCGGCCTTGCACGGCGTCCTCCACAACCGGTGGCCCCGCACGCACGCCGATCGCGAGCCGAGCGTGAGCCTCTCCCCCTCCATCGGCCGGCGGTCGATGGGGTCGGAGAGGTCGGCGCTCGATTGCGGCCAACGCGGCGCAGGGCGGCGTGGCCCCCCTGCTGTGCGCATACGGAGGCGACGACACAACGAGGTCACGCGTCGCGGTCACCGCGCTTGTCACCCTCGTCGCGGGGGGCTTCCTGGCGACGCTGCCGATCTTTACTCTTTTCAAGACCACGCGATTGAACCCCGTTCTTTATTAAAGGAATCACAGCATCGCGCGGAGACATCGGCAATACATAATTTATACGGCGAATAAAAAATGGAGCGCGTCTCTAACACGGCCGACGATTGGATCGTGCGTCTCTACCTTCATGGCCTTGGTGTCCTTGACGAGCACCGATCGGAGCTGCCCGTTGAGCTCAAAGAACACCTCCCGGTGGCCCTTGTTGAGGTCTCCCAGAGCCAGCGCCTTAATGATCAGCGTCTTCCCCCACTGCAGCTCAACCTGCGCAACACCCGTCGCGTTGTGATTTAGCGGCGACCTGAGGTTTGTTTAAAAAATAAAATGTCAGTGCCCTTACTTTGCGCGTGCGTACGGGTGCGCGGGCCCGTGCGTGCATAAGCGCAGGTATCCGCTTCTTAACGAGACCGTGCGTTCGTGGAAGGATTGCCGGCGTGACCGATGGCCTCGGGACGACGCATTGTTGCGTGATGAATGCAACCCAAGTCGACGAGCGGCCAACGTGTGGGGCGCGACAATTCGAAAGCGCAAGTCGAGCGGTCGCGGCGAAAATAACAACAATCGCCGGCGACAAACCGGAGATCCCCCCTCGGGGAGACGGCAAATTCCCCGGCGTGGCGCCGCAACGCGTCAAGCGCGGGCGCTGCCGGAGCCTCGCGCGAGTCCCACGCACAATTATGGCGGGCCATATGCTGCCTACCGGCAAGGAGAAATTCCCCAAACAGAAGACATCCTTTAATGAGCTTCAAGCCTCAGGGTAACGTCCCATTTCCCAGGTTAGATAATTGACCGATTTATACCCGGTGGGATAGACGAGTCAAAGGGAGGCAGCGGAGGAGAAAGCGAGGCATATGGGTGAGAGGGATCGACACGCGGGGTAATTACGCTCGGCGCAGCGGGGACGCAACAACAACCGCCACAACCGTGCGGGAGGGGGGAGTCCGCTGCGTTTCCAAACAGCCGACCGTCGTCTCAAGCGAATTTGAAATAAATCAAGAAATTAAAGATGTAACCGCAACGTTATTATTACTTAGGCATCACTCTTAACCATATGCAACCGAGCAAAAAATAAATCTCCACGCATCTCTTTCTAGTCCCTTCCTCGCGAGCGGCCACGAAACGTACAACCACGTAAATAAAGGTCAAACTGATTGTGAGTGCGTGCGCACGAGTCGGTATTTGTGTTTGCCCTCAGCTTGCCTTTGGTCATCAAGAGAAATCGCCTCGGGCGTTTATGCAAACAAAAACATCCGCGACGGAGCATGGAAACGTCACGACGACGACGCAATTCCACGGCTCCGTGAATTACGGGGGCAGTGCCGCGGTGAGTGACCCGGCCCTTCGCGGGGCCGACGAGGGATGACGAAGTACGACGAGGTGCGAGGCCTCACCTGGAATTCTTCGGCAATTTGGGGTCCCCCTCCAGGAAGAGGCGAGTGTTGAGGCACTCGACCGGCCAGAACTGCGCCTTGAACTCCTTGTACTCGTCGAACACCTGCAAGACACGGCACCCCCCCCCACCCCTTGTGTAAGTTTACCGTCAACGCTGGCTCACCAACCCCCCCCACCCCACTCTGTGTAAGTCTACCGTCAACGCTGGCTCACCAACCCCCCCACTCAGTGTAAGTCTACCATCAACGCTGGCTCACCAACCCCCCCACTCAGTGTAAGTCTACCGTCAACGCTGGCTCACCAACCCCCCCACTCAGTGTAAGTCTACCGTCAACGCTGGCTCACCGCGCCGCCACTTCACCTCATTCCATCTCTGAATTTGTTCGTACGATGTTTGACAACCCCGTTGAGCGGGGGTTATAGTCCACGTCAAATAAAACCTTTAAAAAAAAACATCACAAAGCCCAAGCATCTTAGCTTGCATTAAAAATTCTGCACGTTCAAACAACTTAACTTGTGCAGCCAACTCTGAACTTAACTCGCACGCCGAGATGAAACGCACATTTATTAACAGGCGCAACAACAAAAACACTGCCGCATAGGAACGCTCACATCACCTGTGCGGTTGGGCCACACGGAAGCTCGGGGCTTGCCAATGCTCGATGCTCGGTAATGGACTGGCTGAGTAGAACCCAGTCAATACCGCACTCCGGAATGTCTCATATCCAGCGGGTAAGATTGACGGATTTGGCAGCTCTTGGCATCACTATCTGTGCATGTATATTTACACGCCTTCAGGGTCAGCTCCGTCCCATGCCTCCCCCCCCCCAACCCACCATGAAAGCAGTTTTAGACTTTTGTAGTCGGCGTACTCCTTGTGGCGGAAGAAAGGCACCGTTGGCGTACCGAAAACCCCAACGGAATATTATGTTTCTTTTGTGCAGTCATTGGTGACCCGGCCGATATTGTCAACTCGCTACCGTGGAGAACCCAGTAATTATCACGGATGGCGGAAACCCGGATTCGAACCTAGGTTTTCAGCGGTATCAGCGCAGTGCCTCTGATTTCCAAGTGACCCGACCACCTCTGACTGATTGCATTTAATTTAACCGATTGAGTTTGTCACACCGACTTAGCTAAACCAACGTGGAGGCTGAGCGATAAATTCAGCTCATGTGCAGGAGTTCGACGGAACGTTGTGCCGCAAGATCACGAGAGACGATGACGGATTGGGGAGGCCTTCGCCCAGCAGTGGATAGACCACGGCCAATGATGAGACACCTTAGGAAGGCCTTCACCTAGCAGTGGAAAGATCATGATTGCTGGATTACGGGGAGAGGCCATCGTCCAGCAGTGGATCGATCGCGTCTGACAACGGTGCCCGATGTGGGACCCTGCCGGTGCGCGCGCTGCGCCCCTGTGCTTGGCGAGCACGCCGTGCGGCGCACTCCCTTGCCTGCGGGCGCACGGAGGCCGACACGACTTCCTCCGGGCTGTGTCCCTCCCGTGCCGCCCCTTCGGATCCTTCTCCAGCTGCACGAAGTCCGGGGGAGGCAGCGACGCCCCGGGGCGGCCCTCGGTCCGCTCCATGTCCTTCAGAATCTGGAGGGACACGACGGAAAAAGACGCACGGGTGAACGGACGGGCAAGCGGACGGGCAAGCGGTAGGCCTGGCGAACAACGGGCAAGTAGAAACGTAAGGCAGACAAACAGATGGACAAACGTGTCAGCAGACAGATATAGGGCGGGCAGACATACAGATGAACAGACAAGACATTTAGAAAGATTAATAATTAGGCTGACAGAGATAGACAAATATACAGACATATATGCAGGCAGACAGGAACATACGCAGTCAGATAAGCAGACAGACAGACAGGTAGGCAGACAGACGGACAAAACAGGCATATCAGCAGACAGACAGGCAGTTTGGCAGAGGGACAGACAAACAATCAAGCAGGCACACAGACAGACAAGCGAGTAGGTAGACAGATAGAAAACTGACAACCCTACAGCCATGGGAGTGCCATGTAAGGGGAGTCGTTCACGAGCGTCAACCAATGGACATTCACCTCACTCTGTGTGCACGGCAGCCCCAGCCACAGAATCTAAACATTCCCATAACCGGTTCAGGGCCACTACCAGCGGAGAACACCTCAACAAACGTTCGAACGAAGAGATGTAATTTTTGTTGAAATATTATTGTGCATGCATACATGCCACAATCCATTAAGAGAGTCGGAGTTTAGTTCGGTGCTTTGACCGCAACAGAAAATGTGCGCGTGCCTAACGCACGCACGGAGGCGCGCGTTAGGCGCACGTGCCGGCGTTCACACGGGCACGCAGATCGTTAATTAATACAGCCATGCTTAAATACGCGTGCTTCTTTCTAAATGTTTCGTCGCCAACGTGACCCAACAGCTACGCACGGTTCAGGGCGCCGGTTCAGGGCGCCGGTGAGCCGAGCGGGACGCTTCACAGCGGATCGCTTCGCGGGAATTGTATTTTTTCGCAAAGACTTGGGGAGTGTTCTCCGACGGACAGACGGGCGATGGATGATGGAGAGACAAAATAGCCTCATTCATAACTGACGCTTTGGGCAGGTGGCCCCAGTCCGGAACCCATGACCAGTGCAGCAGCATTTGAGCATGTCGGCACCCAATTGATAGAGGAGGTGGATTGTCAGCTTATCTGTTGTTATTTATATTCTCCACAGCGACGATCGATTGTTTAAAGAGAAAAAAAAACTCAACACGTTTGTCAATAGCACCGTGGCCTTGAATGGAAAAGTATATAATAGGCAACGTTTCAGGCGATGACCCTTTTTCATAGCATATCACGTGGCCATTCTTAATAGCCGCACGACGTGGCTTTTCGTAGCCACATTATGCGCTATGAAGGGCCATCGCTATGAAGAAGGGGCCATTTCCAAAAACGTCACCTATCATATATTTATTTTTTCTTTGAAAGCAAGAGTTTTATTGACTTATGCGTTTAGTGTTTTATCATTTGTGCTCGTGCGCCACTGATGATGCAATGTCACAAAACAATTTGTTCCATTTCATACCTTAAAGGGGGGATCCTTGCCTATAAAATGTGGACATTCACAGATTGCTTCGAGCAAGGCTGATTCTGCTGACGATATACTGCATGTCGAGTAAGCTTGCTTTGAATCAAGGCAGCATAATTACGCACTTCGAGAAGGCCGTGGGGCAGACGCATTGTGTACTCAATACTTTTATTTCTCACGTGGAGAGACGCATATATAAAGGAGACGTACAGTCTGTTTATCTATTTTGTGATTTTATATTCTCCACAATTACCAGAGATTATTGTGTGACCCAAATAAAATGCACAGTGCAGTATAAACTGCACTGCACGACCCTAACCGGGACACAATGGACGTAACCGCCCACACTTTGTCGACTGCTAATTGCCTTGGACGAAGAGTGCGGTCACAAACCTGGAGCAAGATAATTATTCAGCATTCCCGCAAATTACCTCCATTGTACCGTACACCGATGGAGCCAATTACGTAAATTAGAGACTTTTTGTCACATCCTGGAAAAGCCACGCGAAACATGGTGGCCGGGAAAGCCGTTAATCCTTGGCGCACGAGAGAATCTGCCGCACCACTTTGGTAACCGGACAGAAGCCGCCTCTTAACCCTGTGCTGCTCACCACACAGAGACGGGACTTTAACAAACGGGCATCGTGCGGACGGAATACCGATCGGCGTGCATCACCACCAGCGTCGCCACGATCCTCACTCGCAATCCAGCCAAACGTTCTCTCCGTTAGGAGGCAAACCGTGATTGGAAGTCATCCCTCAATTGCACCGCGACTGGATAGGCCGCGTTGCCCTGCGGCGTAGTACCCGTGCCGGAATGCGTGCAAGGCAAATCGGCCGGAGGATGGCAGCCGGATTCGTCTAGAGGTGAACCGTGACACTTTCGGCGCGGTCTCCGATCTCTCGTGCCACACGCGCGGCGCATTCGCCGGTACGTTGAGTCTCCTTGCAGAGCGCTCAGCACACGCAACGTGAAATGAGCTGGTGGTGGGTGGATCGCTCGCCTGTGAATCATCGCGAGACAAAGCTGTTAACAATACAGACGCCTCGATGCTCTCTGTGAGCTATTTTTTTTCCAAACGCGCAAAACAAATGAAAGGCGGCGACTATGCTTCAAGAAATAAAAATCAATGAAATGTGTATATTATCAAAACGGCAAATCGTCCACGAGATCGATATATATATTATTTGTGGTGGCCGGTGAGTGCCAGATTATCGTCGGCCCTCTTCCGAGGGGCTCTCCACCCACCGAGGGAACCGCACCAGACACCCATTCGGGATGCGAGCGACAGACGAGCCGCTAATCGGGCCCATTTTACCGCATGATTTATTTTATTTTATACCACAAACCCAATTTTCTGCTTCGAGAACTTAAAGACCGAGTGGACAGATGATGCAGAAAATCGCGATGTGTTCAACGATCATAAGCCCGATAAGCATTGAGAGAATATTGCGCGAAGAATATTCGAGCTCCAACGCGCGCAATTAAAATTCCTGTAGGCCCACGCCGAGGAGGCTGTTACACCTCTGAGCGTTTCGCCGCGATAATTGAATACGGACCGGGGGCGGCGCTCGCCGCGGTTCCGCGTGCACCTTTAACGGCGCGGGCGGCCGCGCCGCCACCAGGTGGTCCGGCGTTGGCGAGCCGCCTCCGAGACCGATGTTCTCGTCCGCTCGCGCCCGTGCCTCGCCGCCCCCCCCCCCCGCCCCCGCGGTAATAACGCGCCGCTGGAACGCTATCAACGAGCTTGTAGCTCCGCGGCGAGAGCCATCAAGCCCGCCGGTCCGTCTGCCGCCTTACAGACGCGCGGGGACGCGGCCGTCTCGAGGCACGGTTGGGAGGGGGGGAGCAAGAGTCATTGCCAAATGCGACTGACGAAACAAAACGATCGGACATATTGGACATCTGCGTTGCTGAATGCCGCAGCTCAGGTGGTCTTAGTTACCATCTGAAGGGAATAAAAGCTCTTGTTGTAAGACTTTGGGACAATGTTATTCGTCACTTACATCTTGAATTTGACCTATTTTTAATGTTTTGTGAATGTCGCTGCTATTGCTCGTCTTTAAACAACGTTGAGCGTAGGAGCAGCGGGCCAAACACTGCACTATGCAACCTTTCACCTGAGCTCGACTCCCTGCCACAGCTAACATCAATGGTGAGTGATATCTGCGCTTGCCCTGGATCCCTCCCTTCACCAGCTCGCAGTGACCAGTGTGGTGAAGTATAGTCCAACAACTTCCAGACCGACAAGGTGTGGGGGACAGCTTCACCTTCATCCAGGATGTATATTGTAAGATAATAAAAAAATAAAACATTTGCACAATCAGCTACCGTAATTACAGCATTCTCAACTAAAGTCCAGGAAGGAGCCTCATCGCGTGAGCTGAACACAGACAAAAATCCCGGGCCTGAAAGATGTTTGATCTCAGCAGCCAGCGTAACCGCGCGTGGCCTTTCAATGACCGGCAGATGTAATGCTTAAAGAGAAGCACATCATTGGTGTGACCTCGACCATTGTGGGAGGTGACCCCTGACCCCTTCGGGAAGATGATCCTGACCTTTATGTGGGGTAGGGGGGGCGTTGTACCTTGCCTCATCGCCGCCCCCCCCCTACGAGGGATATTTAATTATATTGCCAACGGGAATGACAACAAGCCAATTAAAAAATAATATCGCTTTTACAGATTGCTAGGAGGGACCTGAACTTGCGAAGGCTCTGATTGGGCATGGTCAAAAGTACGGCACGATCGCCCCAATTGCCGGCGATTGCTAACATATGCAGCGGCGGCATCTTTTTTTTTAAAAGATGCCTCCTTCCCCGTGAGAGCCTCGCGGAGTCCGTACGGCCCCTGCGACAATGCTCCTTCCGCTCTCCCCACCTCCCCTCCCGCCACGCTCTCTTCCCCTGCCTCTTCTCTCTCTCTCGGCTGCAGACAGCAGCTCATGACAGAGGGGAGAGGAGGGAATTACAAGGTGCGCCCCGGCACAGCGGCGCTCGCGCGGTTTACCAGTCGGCGCTGCGCTGCTCTGGCACGCCAGCGCGGCGGCGCACGATCGCAAGACGCCGGGAGGGTGCGTCGCCGTTGCCGCGTTGGCGGCAATAGCGGCGGGCCCCTGTGTGTCCCCACCCGCGCGCGTGGGTCGCGTGGCTGCCTGCTGCACGGCGGGCCTCTGCATGGCCATGTTCAGCCGATTCATTTTTTTTTTTAAACATCATCATCATCATCGATTAACCATCATCAGCAGGCATGTTCAATTCACTGCTGGATGAAGGGCTCCCCAAGCCGGCACAATTCACGCCTAGTCGAGTGAACCTTATAAACAGTATAAATATTAAATGAAGTGTCTGAATGAGGTTTTTTTTTTTTAAGCAGTGACAAGCAGACGTCTTGATTTAAAGTGGGGAGTTTTTTTGTACTGTCCCTGGATATTGATGAGGGCCAATTTAAAGAAGATTAAAAACCACCACTTGAGCCCCTTGGGAGGGTGGCCCTCGACACCCCTAACCTGCAGCACCACCCACCAATCATGCGGCGTCACGTCACAACGCACAGACGCGTCCATCGACTCGCCCATCTAGCAGCGCACTACTCTGTGCCAGATCACCGCCCCAGGAGATGATTGCACAGAGCTAACTCTGAGTCTTTTTCAATTGCCTCTTGATTCATACGAGCCGGAAAAGTCAGAGTGATCTCCTGCTCAAATGAGCACTGACGCGGTGCGCATGTCCTGTTTACCGATCTGGGTTTGTGGGGGAAGTTCCACGTTCGTGTGGTGGGAACAAGTCTATCCATAGGACAACTGCCGTTGACTTTCCCCCACACAAAGTGGTATTTATTTCTTGATCCCAGAGGGATGATGGGCCAAGTCAACGCCCAACCGGGAGGTGAACTCGCAACCTTCCAATTGCGAGCCACTTGCTCTACCGCTGGCCATATTGCGTACTCATTCAAACGCGAGGCATAATTTTATATATGTGCGTACATATGCTCTGCAAAGATTGGTAATTGCACGGTGATGCAATTTTCATTTCAGAGTTGGAATATCCTTAGTTAATTTAAAAAAAAAAGAAACCTTTATCGGTTGTAATTGTACAGAAAACTCTGGTCAATATGAGAGCCCGAGCGAATCCCGGGCGGCCGAGACGCAGATTCGAACCCAGTAGCTCGACGGCTGCAGCTTGCCGCAACCAAAGCCTGGGGCTAAAACCCGCCCGGCCACTCAGCGCTGCCGGCTCAGTGCTCCCGGCGCGGTTATCGCATCCCCCCGCAAGCCACCCCACCGCCTCTTCCGCGCCGATTAAAAAATATCGCGACGGCACAGCGGTGAGTCCGGTGACTGATGTCACCAAACGGGGAGCCTAATGTCCCATTCCGCCGCAGCGCGAACCCGCCCGTGATGACGACGACGACGACGATGATGAGACAGGAGAGGTTTGCGTTGCACTCTTGCGCACAAAGGGAGCGCGATGGAGCGCGCGGACATTTGCGGACGCACCACTGAGCGGCATTCGGCACGAGGGCCGCGCTGCCGTTATTTATGGCGCGTAACAATGGAGTCCTTCCTCGGCGCTCGAGCCATAAACAACGTCTCAGCAGAAGCGCCGGCGACACCGAATCCATCAATCACCGCTGACGGCTCACCACCGAAACGGGAGGCGGCGGGCCAGCGGGCGGCCATGTTGGCGCACCGCGGGCACCGAGAGACGGGGGCGGCGCTACGGTGAGGACGGAGAGGGAGCAGGAGACGGGAGGGGGGGGGGGGGGGTGGGGAGAGGAAAAGTGCTTTCTGGAAATATCCTTAATAACCTCCTTTGCAGTGATGATCATGATGATGGCGATGACAATTAAAAAAAAAACTCAACACTGCGTGAAACCTTTTGACAGGCAGAGGCTGACGGCGTTGTTATCGGCGAGCTTTAGAGCGGGTGCTGAAAACAGAGAGTTTTCGCGGCGTTTGCCTAAATCCTGCAACAGCCGACGGCAAGGAACACTCTGCATGCGACGGTGCAAGCTGTTTTTTTTTTCTTCCCACGTGACGTCGTGCGGTGTGACCCAATTACGTTCCGGTCATGCGCGCCGGTGTCGCCTCCTTAAACAGCGCACGCCATCGAGCCAGATGTGCGCCACCGGCAAAAACCACGGAGCCGACGCAACGGGCAGGATCCGACGAGAGAGAATTATTAATTAAGACAGCGCGATTTGACTCGGGGGCTATGGCCGCGGTCCGCTCGCGCCACTGTTTCTACGAGAAAATCCGGCGCCGTTGTGACCTGACGTCTAACGCCCGCTGCACGTAGCCGGTATCACCTCGCCACTATAATACTGCAATACTTAGTGTTAATGATCCGTAGTGGTATTATAATGATCCACTGTCATCTAAGGGCATCTAATGCTATATAAACTCCGTTTAATTAACGGTCCAATCGTTAAGGGTCCACGGTGAAGTGACGCGATACCATTGGGGAGCTTGCTTGAGGAATTTTATGGGTCCTTTAATATGATTGGGAACTGCACAGCACCTCTGTACTAATTGAATTATCGCCCTATTATAAGCGATTTGGTTGACTGCAACAGATCTCTTTATTGTCGTGAACGTGACGCACTTGGGAAAAAAGTATAATTAAAAACTTCCTCCAAACGGTAACCGAGTTTTTGACCCAACGGGCGCGAGCGGGCCAACGACCGTCATAATTCGCATTTGCCTCGATTGGCTTCGAAAACGAACGGCAGGACGAGCCCGAGACGGCAACGAGAGGCGGATGTCAGTCGCTCGCAGCGACCGCCAGTTCCGTCGCGGCGCTACAATCCACGTGCGTTTAATTCCTGCGCGTGGAGACAAACCATTAGCAAAACGCTGATGCAGCAGCAGCGATCGTGTCTAAATATAGGTCGCCACAAGCGCGGCGTAATGTGCTTTGTTTGCGGGAACGAGCAGCAGGCCTTGCAAACGACTCGCGAGCACTGGTGGCCGCCTGCGGAAGAAAGCCCCGTTAGTCTTCCCGCATCCCCTTGTGGTCACCTTCAGTGTAACCGATAGAACGCGTCCCAGTTTATAACGCATTCTGACACCTCTTTGATGTGTGGGGGGATACATAAATTAAAATGTAATTTACAGTCGTTTCAGAGATTTAAAGAATTACCCTACACTGCAAGTGTTCAATAAAGCATGCCAAGTGCATTACTTCCAGCTCCGGGGTTGTACGCGGGGTGATTTATGAACGATCTAAGGACCATAACGGGTGCCATGAAAGGCATTATATGTGAAACGGTGAATGAGACTCATGCGGTAGACTGTCACTCAATGCAACGTCTACAGCGGCGTTATTTCCAATAGGAAAGCTTAGCGGGCGTTATCCCCGCGCAGGCACAATTACGTCCGCCTCATCGGCGGCCGTGACGGCCATAGAAAAAAACACGCATCGCAGAGAGCAGAGCGTTTGCTGGCGAACGAAACTCGAAAATTGAGCACCGGCAAGCTCCCGCCACGCGTGCGCCACAGTGGCACCGCCAGAGCGGGATGACACGGGGGCTCGTCGCGAGTGACCGGCTGGAGTGGAGGACGCCACGACCCCTCCGTGGGTCAAGCGCAACAGGAGGGGCGGTAGCGGGAGCCGCCCTCCTCTGCACGCCCTGCAGGGGCGATCGATCGGCTTGCCCGGCACTGCTTAACAGCTATTAGCGTTGTCCACAAGTCCTCATTGAGGTGAGCGGGGGGGGAGGAGTTCCTGACGATTGGGTCGACGAACGATTGCGTCGTGAGCGAGGGGTTCAACCAGCCGGGGGACGCACCGCGCTCACGGCTCGCGACGAGGTGGGCGAGCGCCCACGCAAACGTGAACCCCTCGGCGATGGCTCCCACGTCGGCCCGCGAGCCGCCGGCGATCCACCGGCGTCGCCCGCGCGCTCTACCGCGGTGCTCGTGTCGCAAAACGCCGCCCTCGCTACCCGCAGCAGTTTGGCCGATTTCGTGGTTTTGCGTTCATTTGCGCGCGTCACGTGCGTCCGTCCGTGTGTGTGCACGTCCGTGGGCAGGCGGCGATCGCTTGTCCGCGCGAGAGAAGCAACGCGCGCCTCGGGGTAGACGCGTGCGTATGATAGCATTGTGTGGGTTTATTATACCCATCGTAGAGCGTCTACAGCCTTCGGTGGCTCAGCATCTGCCTCACCTTTCACAACCGGTTGTTCCCCGCATCCCTTTAGTTACGCGGCATCCGGAGCGCGGCATCTGCCGCTACAACCCATCGCTCGCGCCAAACTAAAACCTCGGGGACGTGGAGGCGACGTCACGCCGCAGTCACGCCGGCCATCGTCCTCCTCCTCAAGCCGCGTGTCCTGCCCACGCCCACGTACGTTCTCTAACGGTCAATATCGTGTTCACGATTCGTGCTTGGCTCCCTGACCATGCGCTCCGGTCTCTCCCAACAGTGATTCCAAGTGAACGCCTCTCCACGCTTCTCTGCGTATGCTTCGTCTGCTGCTTACGTTTTGTTTGGGTCACCGTCCCTTGCTCCCGGAGGCCATCGCGGGTGACACACAGCGCAAACGATGCAGGCAGGCTGGCGTGTCGCTTTCCAAATTGCCAAATTCAGCCGTCCGGCAGCACTCGACTCATCTTAGACCCAGCCAGTTTCATAAACACGAGCACTTATCTTTGTCGTTGTGGTTCGCCGTCCTCAGCGTTGTTAAAGCAGAGCGGCCACGTCGCCACGCCGGCGGTGCGCACGACCCCACCGACGAGGCAGGCATTTACCCAGGGGGAGAAAGTCATGGAGGGGACCGCTCCAACCACCGTCATTTCCATCACTCGCGCAGCGCGCCTCGTTCCGCCGTGCCACGGCACCGCCCAGCCTCCACGCCGACCCCCTGCCCCACCCCCAATCCGTTCCCTGCACTCGCCAAATGGCCTTCACTCAACAGAACGCCGATAATAACGGAGCGCTCCCATCACTGCCCGCCAGATTCACGAAAGTTGATGAATGTGCCCCTCCCGTTCCGTGTACTCGTGAAGCTGCCCGAGACTCCTTCTGGGCACAACACTAACAAATTAAGCCCACGTGTGCAGCACCCAGAAGCGTCTATCCCTTGAAGTGTAAGTATCCTCGCGGTATTGTGGCTTAGAAGTCCCATGACAGGTTATCAATAATTCATAACGCGCATCCCCGATACAGACCTTGACCACTGCCCTCATCCTAGGGGCTCGATACGAGCCTCCGCCGAGTGAAATGACAACGAGAGTATGTGGGGAAGCCGTGCGGCCGGGGATACTTTGCCCCGGGCTCACCAGGTGATGCGCGCAGGCTCCGGCACCCGCGCGGGCACCGCGGCTACCAGCAATGAAATGTCGCACCGCTAAACCCGACTGCTCACACACAACGGGTCCTTCGGTGTTCTTGGCGCAGGGCTCTTACTGGTGGCACCGGGCAACTCGGCAGCATTTGTTTAACTCCGTCGATGAGACGCAGAAAAATAATACTGCATTGCCAGTCGTAATGTTATTAACCGGCCAGTCTGCTCAGCGGTACAGCGAGCATTCCGCAATCGGAAGGTTGAGGGTTCAGACGCTGGATGGGAGTTGGACGGAGCGACGGGCGGACTCTCACCATGCTGCGCAGTGGGGCCCTGCATGAACTCCACGACGGACTCGGGCAGCGACACCTCCTGGCGGGTCAGGCCATCCTGCAGCATGCACAGCGCGAGGTCGCCCACGATCATCGACGACGGCGTCACCGGCGGCCGGGGGGTGGGGGGGGGGCAGCCATGGGGGGCACGATGGGGGGGGGGGGATGGCGGTGCGTTCTGGCAGCTCACCGACGGGAGACTCGGGCCTTATTTGCAAGCACACAGGGAAGATTTAATAGTTTATACTCTGCCGTGCACGCGGGGGCGTGTGCAAACGACGCCTGCAAGCAGTGCATGCAAGCGACGCCTGCAAGCGGTGTGTGCAAACGACGCCTGCAAGCGGTGCGTGCAAGCAGCACGTGGGGGGGCGGCACCTTGATGAGATCCCCGAGCAGCTTGTTAACCTCGGCGTAGGCCTTCTTCACCTCCTTGAACTTGTGTCCAAGCCCCATGCTGTGCACCTGGAAGTGCAAGTTGGTGTACTGGCCGCCGGGGATCTCGTTCTCGTACACGTCCGAGTTGCCCGGCGTCATGGTGGCAGTGCAGTCAAAGGGCGCGTACAGCTGGCGAGCCACCTCCCAGTACTCGCTGTAGTCGAACACCTTCTGCAGGTCGATGCCTGCGGGGAATCCGATTCGCGCCCGCGTGTTATTGAGAAGTTACGAAAAATGACGGCGAGCGCTCTGCAGAGATCGGGTCGGGATAAGGGTCAGGTCGTACATCTCCTGAGCGACGAGGGAGGTCGCACGCTCGTCGTTGGCTAGCAGTGAAGGCTGCCGATTCGTGAGCAGTCAATCCGGGTGCGTACAATCTCCACCCCTCCCCACCACCCGGCTCATGCTTTGCAAGATTTTTAAAGACAGAACACGGGTGAGAGGGCAGTGAGGTGGCTCAGGGAATTCATCCCATGTCAGAGCACTGAGCTGGGACTGCCGAGATAAAACTGAGTTCTCGAGTGTAGTGAGTTCATAGCCTTGGCCTGGTTTGCTCATGCCTGCTGATTAAAAAAAAAACCCCATGATATATATTTTAAAAAAAAAGTTATGTTAATTTGGCAAAATTCCAGCTGTGGAATAAAAAAATGTCAGTTTGATTGAAGTGTGATGCAGGCGTATGAAAGTCATTGCCCTTGGTGTTGTGAAGAAGCTCCTGGAGGTTCTTCAGAAGAAGTTCAGTGAAGTCACCTTCCGGGAGTGGTGGTGGTGGTGGTGGTGGCGGTGCACTGCTCCACGCGACACATGGATTTCTTCATCTCATAGCCGCGTGCACAATCGGAATATAATTGGCATGAAAAAAAACACAACTAAAAATATATATTCGAGGAGCGTGGGCGCTCGGTCGATAAGCACTTCGACTTGAGAAGCAAGAAGGAAAAGTCCTGCAAAAAAAACAGAACGGATAGCAACTGCACACGGTCTTAATGAGACTACAGCAGCCAATTAAAACAGCACTTCAAACGATAAAAGAGCACCACCCACGCGCGGTGGGCAGCGCCGCCTCTCGCTCTCCGCACACCCCCCCGCCCCCGACACCGACGCGCCTTTTTGCCCGTCCAATACCTCTGCTGTCCAGTGTGTTTGCAGCTTGTACAGGCATCATGCCTGACATTTTTCACTCCGCATGCGGGGGAGCTTCTTCACAGACTCGGGTCACGAGGTTCATCGCGCCACGCACTAACCACCGCGCAAGCCACTCTATTAAGCTCCTGAATAAGCTTCGAGTGTGCGGAGCCCGACGTCGGACAACGTGCCAAACGACGCACGGCACGACCCGGAAACTCAGAGGAGAGCCACCTGCGAGGCGGTGGTGGTGCCCGCCCGCCCGCCCGCGTCTGCCCCGAGCCGCGCGCTCCCGCCACGCCCACCCGTGTCGAGCTCCGTGCCCTGCAGTGAGGCCACCAGGGCCGCCCATGCCGGGCCGCGAGTTCATGCCGGGCATGGAGTCCACCGCCACATCCACCACGTGCTGGCGTGGTGGACGTGCCGAGGCCGCCGCCAGCACGGGCGCGACGCCGGCGCCCGCCGTGTCGCGAGTGCGCACGTGGATCGGCATGTCCGGGTAGTGCCCACGCAGCCTTGGAGTTGTGGTGAGCGGTGAGGGGCGAGGGTGATCCAAGATCAAGATGTCATCGTAGCTGAAGCTGTTCATGCCACCATCACACCTCACTGGCAACGCCGGATACCCTCTACCAGATCCCGCAGCTGACATACAGTCGCCACGTGACCACTGAGATGCGGCCTAGCAGTCTCCCACCACCTAGGCTGAGGCCTTCCCCTTGGTCGCCGGACTCATGGCGAGAGCCTACCGAAGCAAATTGTCCAAGCATCCCAACGTAGCATCCTCCCGACGAACGAAACCTGACACTCAGTGCGGTTCTCCGAGACTAATCAATTTACGTCACCGTTGTTATAATCATGATAATTATCATCACCTCCGAAGGTATTCCTAGACGCGAAGCTTTCCGTTCCGCGTGGCCTCTTTAAGTCGTGAAGAAGCCCGGCCTGCCGTCGGCGCCATCGGCTGACGTATCGCCGCGCCGGGGGGCGCACACAGCGCTTCCATGGCAGAACCAGGGAGAGTTTCAAAGCGGCAGCGGACCCGCTCAGCCCATCCATCTCGTGCCACCACTGGGATCAATAAGCGGACCGACGCTGCTCACACGCGTGCCCCCGCAACACGGCACAACATGAATATCCAAATGAGGCACGGGGCAGAAAACCGACTCTAATTCCGCCAAAGCGCGCCGCGCATAAATAAATCAGCCGGTCCAACGTCGGTGGGCAAGCGAGGTAAATTGCCAGATGCGGTGGCAACTCTCCGCGTGAAATAAATGTCTCCTAAAATCTTTGTTGCGCCTGGATTTATGCGTCTTGTATCAGTTTCCCGCGAGAATATAGGTGTGTTTCACGGTCAGAAGCTTTGTTTTGCTCACATCATGTTCCCTGCGTGCCTTCGCCATTCTGATGTAAAAAGAGTCCCAGGTTACTTATTATGGACTGCCCAACTATAGTTGTACTTGCGAGACGCTCCCCAGATAGTAATGTTCTATGAAAGGTTGGCACAACACTTCGAGAATCCTACACTTATGATATATCTTGCATTACTCATGAACCAGAGTAGCACGTAGTGCACGTCAAACTGCAGTACCATTGTAAAGACTCAACTCGCTCATTAACAACAATGCCCCGATACGAAACGACAACAATAGGCGATGTTTTGGACAACGACCCATCCTCATAGCGCACACACACACAGGCGAGTGGTACCTCTCCTGTGAGCGCCCCCTCACCCAACTATAGGTGAGGGTCCCGTCACTTTGTCGTCGCTGATCACCGTCACCTGACTCCGGCTAACCGCCCCATCGCCCGACTGCGGGCGAGGGCCCAGTTACCCGACTACAACTAATCACCCCATCACCACCTGTCCACGGGCGAGCCCCCAAATCGCCTGACCACAGGTGAGCGTCCCCCCCATTCAGCCTAAGCAAGCAAGGCCGACGGGCTGGAGGTGAGAGCGCCCGCTGTGGTCGGTGTTCATCACGGGACCAACCGCGGGTCCCGTGATGAACACGTTCGACGCTCGCCTCGGCCCCGCGACAAAAAAACTGACGGCGCACGGCGCCGGTTTATCCCGCTGCCGCCGCGAGGGACGGGAGGGTGCGAGGCGCTCACTCGAAGGCGGAGTGGATCGGGGTAGTTGGCGCATCCCGCCGAGTTGGTGCCGCGCAGCAGCATCTGGAAGGGCACGTTGGGAATGAGCTTGCGCATCTTCAGCAGGCGCTTCCAAGGGCGCTCGTACAGGAAGCGCATCGCCACGTCGAACTTCGCCCCTGGGAGGTGGCAGAGGGATGGGCGAGGGCGAGGCAAGGGCAAGGCAGGGGACAAGCCAGCCCCGGTGTTAGCGTAAACCTTCTTTTCTCATAAATATATACATACGGCCAGTTTGTATAGCCACTGCAACCTGCCCGCACTGGTCAAATATCTCCCGTGTGCCAGTGGAAGTGGTTTGCATGAACGTGGGAGTGTAGAAGTACAGTACAACAATGGATTTTGCTGCACTGCCTTCTGCTGCCCACCACATAGGCCTTGGTCATAAGCCGACGTTAATGGGTGGCGTGGAGAGACGCGCGAGATGCAGTCGCGGCGGTGAAAGGGAGCGGCTGTCCCGTGGCCAGGTCGGATATATTTGTGTTGCTGCACTCTTGATACCCGCGGCCCCCGTGTGGCTGCGCGGTTTTCTGGGCCCTCGCCTACACGGCCCCCGGTGTCAGATTCCGAGCGTTCAGATACCGAGCGTTCAGATACCGAGCGTTCAGTCGCCGCCAAACAGTCTCGTGGAGAACACACGAGCCGTGGGCTGGCACCGCCGGGCATCGCAGAAACCTCGTAAAAATCATTCACGAAGGCTAAACAACTACTCTCTTAGACTAATGATACATTAAATAAAATATATGTACAAATGACTGAGCTCGGTGGAGGAATCTGGAAAGCAATCCATTTTGATTCTGAAAAAAAAACAGCATTAATATTTAAACATGCTTCCAAAGTAACAAAAAACGGAATGCACATATTTTTCTATTATCTACGTGCCATTGAATGTTTGCTGTGTACAGTATGAATCAGTGTGGTTACGGAAAAGCGTTGGCGCGATGCTGAGTGGGGGGGTTTAACCCCGACACGGCTGGCGGGACCTCGTGTGGATGTCGACCGTCGCCAGCAAACACCAAAAACCGTGACCTGATGTGACGGGGGGGGGGGGCAGGGTGGCGGAGAGGTCGGAGCGCCCAGCCGGCACCGCTTACATCCTGCGTTCAAAACCGGGCAAACCAGCTGTGTGCTTTAACCCGGTTCACAAGAGCTGGTGAGGTTGGGCAAATGTTAATATAAGAAGAGGTTTTCCCCTTTTTTCTGGCAACAAAACAGCTGTGTTAAGATGTTAAAACACCAAACTGAAACCTTTTACAGGGAATCATGTCTGCATTAACCGCAATACTTGTGGCCAGAATGCAAAACCAAAAAAACATACTCTGATAATATGATACATTGTATTTGAAACTGATTGGTCCACACCAGACAGCTTTCTTTTGAGCCTCGTCTCACAACGTTGTTAGATACAAATGTTAATATTTATGTGTATATATGTAAACATATACATTCACATCAATCGATCGTTTGCCGTGTATTTAGTATTTTTTACCGCAATACACAGTGTGACGTCACGGCACGCGGACGCCACTTTGGTCTCCCATGTCATCACGACTCATAACGGGGTCAGCCCCATTCAACGCGGGTTCTGAGCGGGTCTTCTTCTGCTTTCGCCGTGATGTCTCCTTCGTAAATTGCGTCGCAATGCGTCGCACGGTCCGTTCTGGACGACGCACAGTCGCACACTAACTGGAGAGTTTTAAATGTTCCATTTGTGCATCAGGTATCCGCATCTACTGCCACATGGTTTGTGCGGATGCAGTTTGGGGTAGACCGTGAGATTTGTGGAAGGTCAAACCCAGGGACCTTCCGCGCTGGGTCTTTCACGAGGCGTTTGCTTTTGAGTTCCTTTGAACTGAGCAGGTGGCACCGTTACAAAAGCGGACGCCCGGTGGCCCAGTTACGGAACCGACGGGGAAGCGTAGTCCCAAAGTGGGTTGCCGGGTGGCGCGGGGCCCGGCCTGGCTCAGAACGGTGACCCGGTGGTCGTGCGCTCGAGGCGTGCGACAGTCCGTAAAGCACGTCGGTGGCGTCTCGAACATTAAAACTCGCACAACATGACAAACGCCTCCGTAACGTGAATCCACATATAGTTTTACTTCCCTGCTGGACGGTTGCCTCCATCCCCACACCCCACCCCCGAGTCTGGCTGAGACTCGCCGCTGGTGCTAACTGCGTGCCACAGCAGCTCGGTAAACTTGCTGTTCAAACAGAGGCTGTGCTCGCAGCATAATGCCCCATTGAGTCGGCGAGCACCATCAGTGCCTTCAGAGGCATGTGTGGGAATACACTCGCCCGAGCGCGTGTATTTGCGTGTGTGCGTGTGCGTGCGTGTGTGTGGGGAGCGGTGGCGTAGCGGTTAGCACGCTGCGCTACGGACCCGGTGACACGGGTTCGAATCCCGCTCACGGTCAACACCACTTGTGATTATCTGAACCAGTCCTGGGCCTCCCCTAGGTCGTCTCAGCCTCAAATGAGTACTCAGTGCATTGTGTAAACATCGTTCCGGCTTTCATTGATGCTCGCTAACAGCACTTGCCCCAACAGTTTATTAAGGCTATACGGGGGGTCTTTTTATTTGTGCCTAAGAACACACACACAAACACACACGTGCCGAGGCGAGCATGCAACATTGAAGCGGGGGAGGTGGTGGCAGCAGTTGGGATTTTGAGTTAGAATCTTTCTCCCTCTGCATGCAGCTTCTTTCAAGACCTCACGCCAAAACTGCGAAACCAGGGCCCCGTGTGCCGCCTGAATTTTTAACAAACACTGCGCGCCACCGTATGCCCACAACGGGTGGCATAAATAATGCATCTGCATGGCGGCAGTGGGTGTGTATGGAGTGGCAGCGTAATTGGGGACTGGGCATCCACAGATGGAGTAACGGTGGGGAGTGGCTCCTCAGGAGCTGGATCCCTAATTTTGGGAGTGCTACAAGGAATAAAAAATATCCAGGTCTGCTAAAACCCTAATGAGATAATTGCATAGCCGTGGTGCACAGAACAATGCCGAGATGGCATTTGTAACTCGACTTAATTAACTTTCCACAACTCTCGTTTCTGTCACGTTCCCCCCAACGTCGAAAGTAAGATTTGTGACATGGCAATGTGCTGAAATTTATACAAAACAAATCCAGCACCAAATGTAACGTCATGTTTTTCGTGCAGTCATCAGAGACCATCGACTCACAAAATTTGAGAACCCGGTTTTTCAATCATAGGTGGCTGCCTGGATTCAAACCCACGATCTCAGCGGTGCCAGCTCAGCGCTCTGACCTCTGAGCCACTCTGCCACATTTAAATTACTTCTTCAAGATGCGCTATAGGAATTTGAGGAGGGAGGCAGGGTTGTGTTTTCTTTTTATCTTTTCCGCACGACTGTAATCATCTCACAGCGCACCGAACATGATTGTGCGATGCTTACCTTTGCGAGGACACATTCGGTCATCGCAATAAACCTGTCACGTTCAACCGAGCCACACACGGCGCAAACCGCGCTCGGCGACTTCAAACGTCCAGAGTGACTGGCACCCGCTTGTGCGATACCAACGAAAAGACGAGACACCGCACGGAACGAACGAAATTCATTCGGCCTGACCATACCACAAGGAGGCTCGCATCGTGGTTCGTGGCCAGCATTCGCATCCTCCCCGGCGCCCCCCAGCGCCCCCCAAAGCTCCCCAAAGCTCCTCGTCGCTCCACGGCACTCCCCGACGCTCCCCAGCGCCCCCCAACACTCCCCGGTACTCCCCAGCGCCCCCCAAAGCTCCCCGTTGCTCCTCAGCACAACCCAACATTCCCCGTCACTCCCCAACACTCCCCGGCACTCCCCAGCGCCCCCCCCAAAGCTCCCCGTTGCTCCCCGTCGCTCCTCAGCACAACCCACCACTCCCCGGCACTCCCCGGCACTCCCCAGCGCCCCCCAAAGCTCCCCGTTGCTCCCCGGCGCTCCCCGGCACAACCCAACACTCCCCGTCGCTCGCCCGTCGCTCGCCGGCGCTCCCCAGCACAACCCAACACTCCCCAACACTCCCCGTTGGTCCCCGTCGCTCCCCAGCACAACCCAACACTCCCCGTCGCTCCCCGTCACTCGCCGGCGCTCCCCCAACGTCCTCACGGCAGCCGAGAGGCAGCAGAACCCCGCGGTGGCGGGCCCCACCCGCGTGTCGCAGGTTGTCGGCTTCGCGACGAGGTTCCGCGCGCCGCGTAGCGCCCGCCGTGGCTCCGCATCGGCGGTTTTGTGAGAACGAAAAATGAAAATCAATCGAAGAAAAAAACATGGGGCCCGACACGGAGCGAGAGCTGTGTCTCTCGCTGATGAAACGCATCAAATGCAGACCCAGAGCGAAACGAGGAAGATTAAAGCGCGTTTAACTCTCGCCAACGACTCCGCGGCGCGCGGCTGCCTCGCAACACCGGCAGTGCCCGCACTTTCAAGGCAAACACGCAAAGACAATGCCGCGTCTGATGCGATAATACAATTCATTATACGCTCCTCTGCCAACGAATGCACAAACACACTTTAATTGCTTGCCCGGACACAAAGCGCCGTGCGCAAATTTGTAATCTCCATTAGGCATAGCCGCGCCCGCCTATAACGCAAACTTGCCATTTTGTTTTTAGAAATTAGTTCACTCCCCCCCTCGCCACCCCAGCCCCCCCCCCCCCCAAAACGGCAAACTTGTATTCTAAGATGGATCAACCGAGGGAGGACAAGATGTCAAAGGTCAAGTTCCATCGAGTCCATCGTGGTGAACATGTCAAAGGTTGCACTGCGGCCGAGGGCAGGAGTCTAGCAGTGGCTTCAATCCCTGCAAGTGCACACGTGCACGCACGATCACTGTACGCGCGAGCCCACCGCTAATCCCTGGACTCCTCCGGAATCCCCTTTCATTTTCCCCAGACAAAAAAAAAAATATCCGAATGGCCCTTCATCGCGTTAATCATTATGCAAATTATGGCCCAATTGCGTTATATTTTTCTTCCGTTACATTTCTGCCGATCTCATCAACAGCATTGGTGCTGTAAGCACGCACCGCACGTGAGCAAACACACGCACGCTTACACTTGGTTTCCCGGCTACTTAAAAATAAAACCTACAGTTCATTGCCTGTTAATCGTTTTAT